GTTTTGTGTCTGTCGTCCACGCCGGTGGTCGCAAATTTCCTACTTGAAAGCATATAGATTCTCTTATCGATGCTTGCGAACTGATAGTAGATCGAGGTCGAAGTTGTTTACAACTTAGAAAATTCACGGATTGAAAACAGCCAGTCGATGGCGCCACGAGTGTCCAACTTGGTGCTGGGGTGTCCGTCATCGCTAAATAGACATTGTTAAGTGGCGACCAATTCCCAGTTCTTACTGTGCCACAGCTCACAGTAGACCAAATGTTCTTTAAGTTATAGAGCTTTGACACTCTCAGGAGGGCACTGCGCACCTCTAAGGGCGTCGAAACAGTCTTCGGCGGGGACTAGTTGCAAAGTAAGCAAGTCTACGTCTGGTGAACAAACGGCCGCCCACCAGTAATGACAACGCTAACAAAACGTGGTGAGCTCGAGCATGACACACGCCAAACTCTAAATAATGCCACATAGTCCAATGACGCCTCGATGACAGGGCGACAATACATTGCCGGTAAGTCGATTTCTCTGCCGACGAGACGTCAATATGAGCTTTCGATAAGCAAAATAGACGCTCAAACAAATAACCTGAGAGAGAATTGTTGGCGATCCTTCCATAACAAAACCTTCCAATATACCAGTTAGTTTTGCCCAAAAGTGATACTGTGACCGGTGTTGAGAAGTCTTTGTATCTCGGCAGTGGCGGCAAATAATAAACAAAATGCTGTACTGGTCGCGAAATGAACAGGTGTAAACGGCGACTGAAGTACGTGAACCATCCTCGAGCCTCTTACCCGTGAGCCTGAAAATGCGCCGCCTCCACTTAATTGCTTTTATCCATTGCCCTCATCCTAAAATTCCCCCCCTGGCGCGAAGCCTCCGCAGTCTTCTGTGACTCATTGTAGACACGGTAAGGGGCTCGAGCCAATTAAGCTCTGCCTGCCTGAGAACCAATCACTGAACGACCGTAAACAGGTTTGTACCCATCTCCAGCGTAGGCGTTGCACGAACCCCGCCCAGAGATATAATACGGTAAAGTTCCAGCAAAAGATAACATTTCTGTTAAAGTCTCGTGTCGATAGTGGGGTCCTGGCAATATTTTCCTTGAACGAGCGGGTGGGGGGAGTGAAACATGGATATGGACTGAGGATCGGGAATTCTTCTGCCCGTCTCCATAGCAAAAAATGGAGATTCCAGCTGCCCAGGTCCAGCTGAAATTGTTTCAGTCCGAGTTTCCTGGCTCTTACAAGGCCCGTGGGGTGTAGAAACGAGAACAAACAAGCTTGAGTTTACAATTTACGGGCCAATTACTCGCACTGCGGAGAACTATCGAATTCCGCCATGGCTACAGGTAGCGAACGAACGTCTGCCGTGGGTTGTGGTCTTTGATCTTGTTCATAGAGACGTATGGCCTGCCCGCAACGATAGCGTTACAATAAAAACACGCTATTTTTCTTGTCCTAACCAGCCCACGACCGCCCAATGTTTAACAGCCGTGCAGTACATAACCTACAGTCGGTGACTGATCTCATTAACTGTTAACCAAAATTCGCAAATGCGTTTTCGATTAGAAAAGATTACTTAAGTGGGACTCTAAGATGGATCATCTTGCGACGTAATCCTGTTATATTTCAGACACATCAGGGTGTTAGCTATTGAATGCACTCCTTTTCAGCCACTTGTGCAAATCGCATTCGATAAAGAGTGACTACTCAAGTAGTATGCATTTCCAGTATAGTCTTTTGATATCCTTGCAAATTTAAATATATCTTATAGAAAACCTCCAAAAAATATCATTTCTTATATACATTTGGTAGCAACTCGTGCTCTCTTCAAATTTTACTTAATAAGAAAGGTTATCTTTTAGTTTTTAAGTTTTTTAATTTCCCCAATACATTTTAACTCGATCTGCTGGTGTGTTGTCGTTTAGGGTCCTTAGTCTTCAAGCTTCATAACTTCCGCTTAAAGAAAGACATTCATTCCTTAATGCCATTGAGAAAATAGCATTTTGTGCACATTAAATTTCACGAAAAATGTGGAATATTTTGCATACTTAAGAGGGAGCATCACTAAACAGACATACGATGCTATTCGAATGGACATTGCATGGTCTTCAAAATCACTCAATTAGAAACTTTGTAACACGAAAAGATACCCTTTTTGAGTATAAAATTTAACGTAGACGTGACATGCTACCAAATGGGTATAAGGCAGACTATTGTTTTGCATGGTTTCTACAAAATATTTTTGAATTTATAAGGACATCGGAAATGGATGGAAAAAATGCACATTTTTCAAGTGGTCGCTTTTTACCTAGTGCGGTTTTTGCAGATGAATGAAGAGAGAGGCATCCAAAATCCAACACTGGTGTGTCTGGATGTTGCGAACCTATTCCGTAACCTAATCAAAAATTAAACCCCACTTAAGTACTCCTCCCTAATCGAAAACACATTTCAGTGTCGGTCAACATTTCATGATATGTGTCACTGACTGTAACCGATAAGATGTCGTGACCGGCATTTAAGTGGGTAGTGTCGCATATATATGGTGAAGTCATTTCTGTTTACTGAATTGATTTGAGACAGAGAAAGATTTGTTCTAGGGAAGATCAATTTCAAATCTGTTTAATGTAAGGAAGGCTGGTCAAGATTAGGCCAAATCGGACGTTTCCTGACATTTAAGTAATATCCCAGGTCATTTAATATCACATGCCAAAACCTCCTTTTTCTGCGCGTTTTGCTATAAAGGTGCACTGATATAAATAAGACGATTTTCAAGAAAATCCCCTATGTAAACAGAAAATTGGATTTTGCGTCAAGAAAATTAGGTAGATACAGGTAGGGGAAGCCGAATTGTTTTCAAGCAACAAGTGGCGAGCTGAGTTTTATAAATCAAATTCTGCAAATTTGTTACCTTTTTTCATAAAATGCAGTAATGAACTTGTTTGGCAGTAGTTAGTCTTACGACACCGAGAGTTAATGGGCGTAAATAAATATATATTGTGCAACCGCGACGTGGTGTCACCATGTGCGATGGAAATGTCGAAACACCTCCTGTCAGGGGTTGACTTTGAGCGCATATGAAAATTGCCGACCGAGGGAGTGTCGCACAAGTCCTTAGTTAACATTTTAAAAATTAGCCTGGTCTCTCTATGGAGAATTATAAATAGTAGAACAGTGCCTAAAAATACGCAAAGTGAACGAAGCCGGTAAATGGCCTAGCAAGACGACGATTTTATTCGTCGAACACCAAGAAGTATACTTACGGCCATTCCCAGGGAATATTTGTCGGTATAGAATGTTATTACCGACAAAAACAAGGGAAACTGGAACGGCCATTTCTGGCTTATTAGCCGTCGTCAGCCTGTCATACCCAACCCCGAAGCGTGAAACAGCCGGGGCTCGATCCTTCGACCTGCTAGTTAGAAGTCCGGCACCTCTAACCACTGACCCACGGGCTCGTTGTCCTTTCGGCGAGATCGGGAATGTACAATGATAGAGGGGTCCTCGAGGTTGGACTCGAGAGAGTGCCCGTAAGGCACAACGGGACGAATGAGGTCCGCAAAAACGATCGGTAAGCGTCCCTCTCCCATTTGTCAGTTTCCTCTGTGAATAATCAGAAAATGGATAAAAGAAAGCCTCGAGACGTCATGACAAGGCCGCCTTCTCATTAGGAAACTTACTAGAGAACGTTTTTATTTGCTCAAGAATATATTTATCACAGGCTTTCATCCTCGAAGAGCATTCATTTTTTGATGTGGCCCTATTTTCGGACAAGCCACCGAAGCCGACCCAGACGGTCTTATTTAGGAAGAACATCCCACGAGAACGCACTATATTAACAGCAACTCTCAAAACAAACACTGCTTTCTTTTGAAGATCGGTCGATTCTTTGGCGCAGTATAACTTTCAGGGATGCGGAGTGGGCGGTTGGCGCGCAGTTCGTAACATTTCATTTGATAGATCACCAACTGTATATCTGGTAGCCGACCTTAGCTAACAAGGCCATACACCGAACTCTCGAAAATGCCGCACCTGGCTCCGAGCATAAAACTCACACCAGCATGCTGAACGGGTGGTCTCGATGATGCTAGCTGCAAGCCAAGAGAACCTACAGAATAGAGCACTTCAAATGAGCAACGTAGTCAGACAAGTTGATTGATGCATCGTCGCCGCAGAAATCAAGGAGGTGGCGAACCGTACTTCTGACTAGGAGACATCGATCATGATCAGATACCTTCAGCGTGGATTATAGTGTCAAATGGTTCTGAGCCAGGCTGTTGTCAGATGTAGAGCAGAGACGGTATTTTCGTCGGGGACATTATTATCCGGTGTCTGTGCAGGACTCCGAAGGTTCCTATGAACTCGTGTTTACTTCAGTAGGCATTATGGGGTGCAAGGTGTCCAGATGTGGGTCAACGTGAAGGTCCTATGAGGTCGCTTACTTGCTTGCAGGTTTTGACTACGCTTAGCGTCCATTAACTGACGCCAACTCTCAATGTTGACTCCTCGCAGCTCGGCTCTGTCTAGCGGCCACACCCCGGTAACCGCCTCGACCGGCGGGCCAAACCAGGTGAGGGCATGCTCGTGTGCATCCTCCCACGCGGTAATCCTGCACCGCTCCCTACTTCCGCTCCATTTTCCACTTCACCCTCTCCTCCACCCTTCTCCCCCTTTTACCTTCTCCTCCCTCCGCCCTCTCCCCCTCCTCCCTCTCTGCTCTCCACTCTCCAACCTACTCTACACCGCGACAATCGACAAGCCCAACGTCGAGGGCGAAATGCAATCACGTAGGCGGCCCAAGTCACTCTCACAATAAACCCCGTGACCCATAGTGGAGCGCGGTATCCGTCTGGTACGATCAGGCAGTCCAATTTAGGGATAGCACTGCTTACCCCGCGAGGGGGACGGAGCTAGAAAAGTGCTGGGTTCACGACATCTGCGCACAGACCGTGGTTCGCAGGCTGCCACACATGTTGTAAAGACCCTCAAAACAGAAAAAAGACCTCTATCGTGCAATCTCACAGGCCGGTAGGTCGCTCACTGTCTGTGAGCCTGGAGTGTTCGTTCCCAATAAGAACGGACGACGGCGCAAATCGTTCGGGAACTGGCGCGCTACAAGGTGGGCACCACTGCACTCAATAAGACTCGGTTTTTCGAACAATACCAACAGGAGGACGTGGCTCCCGGGTACACCTTCTTCTAGAGCGGTCGCCCCAGGGCAGAGCGACGGGATGTAAGCGTCACCATTACCATCCGAAACATTGTAGGACGACTGCCCTGTCCGCCGCAGGGCATCAAGGAACGCATGACGAGTCTCCGACTGCCTCTCCGGAGAGGCAACGTCGCCACCATCGTCAATTTCTACGCTCCCCCGATGACCGGCTCTGAGGAACCGAAAAACAAATTCTACAATGACCTGTACGCCCTCCTGGCGTCTGTCCTGAAGGCGGATAAGCTGATTGTCCTTGGTGACTTCAACGTCCACTTCGGCACATGCCATGCCGTCGAAGGAGCGCTGGTTCCCCATGGTCTCGGCAGCCCAAATGACAATGGTCTGCTCCTCCTTTGAACCTTTGCAGAACATCGTCTCATCCCCAGCAACACCTACTTCTGCCTCCCGCTGCGAGAGATGAGTACCCCGATGCACCCTCGGTCGCGACAGTGGCACCTGATGGAATATGTCCCAGTCCGGAGGCGAGACCGGACGTGCTGATGACGAAGACGATCAGGCTGCCGACGGGTGAGCCGGCCATCGTCAGCAGTGAGGATCCGCCAATATCCAGGCGGGAGACCTCGAAGTAATCGACAAGCTCGCGTCCTCCCCAACCACCACAAGAGCCATCTGGAACCGGGGTGTCCCGCCAGAAAACCGGTGCAGATTTTGTCGTCATCATATCACCATCGCCATTGTTTTAGCTGCCGTCAACTGCAGCAGAAGTGTAAAGAGATGCGCACCTACCTCAACCCTACCTAACTGGATCTGACGAAAGCTTTCGACACGGTGAATCGCGAAGAACTGTGGAAAATCATGTAGAAATTCGGATGTCCACAGCGATTCACACAGATGGTGCGTCAGCTACATGACGGCATGACAGAGCGCGTCACGGACAATGATGTCGTCTCAGAGGCATTCTCAGTGACCAACGGAGTGAAGCAGGGCTGTATCCTCGCGCCTACTATCCTCAGTTTCATTTTCATCACCATGCTATTGGACGACTACCGTGACGAACGTCACGGGATCCGCATCGCCTACATGTCGGAGAGTCACCTACTCACTCACCGGTGGATGCACTTCCAGTCGCATGCATCAGCAAATTCCGTCCACGAACTTCTCTTCGTCGCCGACTGAGCTCTCAGTACCACCTCGAAAAGGGACATGCAAAGGAGCATGAACCTAGTCGCCGCCGTCTACGGCAACTTTGGCCTGGTCATCAACACGGAGAAGGCAGTGGTTATGCATCAACCGCCACCCAACGCTGGCTACATTGGAGCACACATCAACATGAACGGCACCCAACAACAAGTCGTAGACAACTTCACCTATCTGGGCAGCACCCTCTCCCTCACCACCAAGATCAACGATGAAACGGCCCACCGGATATCCAAAGCCAGCCAAGCCTTCGGTCGTCTGCAAGGCACAGTCTGGAATCGTCACGGTCTCCACCTCTGCGCCAAACTGAAGATGTACCAGGCGATCATCCTGCCGGCGCTGTTGTATGGAGCGGAGATCTGGACGGTTTACAAGAAGCAGGTGCGGAGACTCAACTACTTTCACCTCAGCAGTCTCCGACGGATACTGAAGCTGAGGTGGCAGAACCGGATCCCGCATACGGAAGTACTGGGGCAGACGGGAATCCTCAACATCTACGTTATGCTGAGACAACTGCAACTGCGTTGGCGCGGCCATCCCGTGCGGATGGGCGACGAGCGGCTATCCAAACGACTCTTCTATGGAGATGTCGCCACGGGTTCCGTCGCCAACAGGGAGGTCAAGTCTGTCGATACAAGGACACTCTGAAGACTTCCCTAGAGCCTCTGCAGATTAACCCGGTCAACTGGTAAGGCCTCGCACGAGACCGACCGACCTGGGGGAAGACAGTGAAGACATGAGCAGCGATCTACGAAGCCAACTGCGTCACCGCCGTCAAAGCCAAACGCGAGGCTCGCGAATCCCAACTGCGCCCACCTCCCAGCCCCAACGCTCAACCAGCCCACGCTTCAAACGGATATTCCGGGCACCAATTTGCCTTGTAGGACATCGTACCAACTCTAGCACCCGGACGTCACTACCCGATGTCCCCCGTCCATCCCTGCCTCGTCTCCTACATCGACATTCAATCCTGATCGCGCTTCTGACCCTCCATTACGATCAACCTCCCCATCAACTACTGCGGCGGCTCCTGCCCCCGACGTCACTGCACACAACCTTGACGCATCAACGGGCATCATCCTCAACACCGCCAACAACAATGCGGAATCGGTCCATACCTGTCCGTATACCGATCGCATATTCGCCCCATACATCGGCACGGTCGATCACTTGAGAACTAGACGCAAAGAGACTGTAGAACCAGTGCCGGGACAGCAACCTGCAATCACCGAAACCGTCTTCACTACCCACACTGATCCCACACATTCACTCGCCGCATGGGCCCACTCGGTCACAGGTGCATCCACAAGAACGGAATTCACCGCCGTTCCGACACATCTGGCACATTTTGTGCACACAACCATGCCTAGCCCAACAAAACCCCGTCGCCTAGCGCGCCCACTGCCGTCATCATCGAAACCGACTTTGTCCATGCTGGCCCCGTGCATTCACCTCACCCACGGCCTGTTCGGTCACTTGCGAATCCACCGCACAGAAACTGGCGAACTAGTGCCTGGTGACCCAAACTGCTCTCACCACATCCGCCTCAACTGCCCGCACTGTCCCCGCACATTTTGCAACCACATGGGCCTATTATGTCACATGCGCATTCATGAAAACCTGCGGCAGACAACCGTCAGCTACCATCACAGCTTCCTCCACCAGCACCTACACTACACAACAGCCATTTTAAGTCCTGGACTGCCACCTCCCACGCAAGCGGGAAGTGTGCTTCTCGGCTCCTCCATTTGGTTACTCTGCTGTACGTGTGATTCGAGTCTGAGGCTATCACGGTGAGTCAAGCGCCGTGGTTTAGAAGGCTGCCGACTGATGCCTCGGCTCAGTCCACGCAGTCGATTCACTTGTGTGTTTGTGTGGAGTGGCGAACTGGTGGGCTGAGAGTCAGGCTGTCACGGCTCCTTCCTAACGTGACCTCTGGCGCTTTCATAAGTGTGAGGAGTGTGTGTGTGTATTCTGTGGGTAGTGCCTTTCAGTCGACGGTTGACTGGTTATCGAGCCTTTTGAGAGTGATGGCCAGGCTAAATGCAGGACTGCATGTCATCCTTTTGAGCCTTAATGTATGCCAGCATCTGCTATGCCATTGTCAGCAAGCCATGGTCTTCGCAGCCTGGTATGCCCTGACAGTTCTCTAGCCTCTGATTCCCTGTCGGCAGATGCGCTTGCGCTCCCGCTGGATACACAGGTCGTGGGCATGGCTGTCCAATCCTCCTCGCTTTTCTGACTCGTTGTGGTGTTGTGTTCGTTGTGGACCCGTGGGTGTGGTGGTACGCCTAAATACGGGAGAGGCCATGCCATCCATCTGCAAACTCTCCCGCCTCCGGTCTTCTTGATTATGTCTTGGCTCCAGATGGGGTGAAAAGAGTGCGGCAGATACGGTGCAAGTCTGCCCTCACTATAAACTGATTCATGCGCGAGTCACCGTGCCTGCTTCACCTTGCTATGAAGCACACTGTGGACATCGTCGGGAACGACGGTCGAGCTTTCATTTTCAGTTCCAGTGTATTTTCGGGAAGGTAGGTGTGCGCCTTTGAAATCCCCATTGGTCACATGCAGAGGAAGTACATGGAGAAAATTGAAAGGAAGTGGCATGAAATAATTACAAGGGGAATAACAAAAACTGTGCAGATTAACACATAATTTCATGCGTTAACAGTATTTGAAGGCATACGAACTCGGTTTGTTTATTAAATACAGCAGATAGTCGAAGCACACCTAAGATACAGGGAAAGCAGTAAATTTTCCCTGTTTGCAAGTATCTTGATGAATGCGAGCAGCAGTGTGCGACGTGATTCAAAAATTGATAAATTACATGGACATATGTTACTTAAATATCGGTAGTAGAATCGGCATTGCACTAAATTGTCAACATTGGCTATCAAGATGGTTGTCGTCCGGCGTTATTGTGGTGCGTATTCCAATGTTGATCTAGCCGCCGTTTAAAAGTGTCTACGGATCCCGACATAACAACATCCTCAGACAAAGCATTCCAAGCTGCAACCCCTCTGTTGGGGAAGAACTTTCGTGTGTCTAGCCGGGCACCAGTCACACGTATTTTGAGTGGATGGCCTCTAAGGTTAGTCGTAGTCGCCAACTCGAAGTATCCTGATGAGAGGCAGCAGCCCTGATTGCGCACGATGCGGAAAGCTTGTATTAGGTCCCCACGTAGCTGTCTTTAACTCAAAGGAAAGAGGTCAGGATTAGCTAATCGTGTTTTGTAGGGAAGTGACCACTGTGCAGATACAAGTTTCACTGCCCGCCGGTGAACCTTTTCGAGTATTCTGAGGTCCAGGGTTTCCATGCTTGGATAGCAAACTCCAGATGCGGTCGCACAAAAGTTCGAAAGAACTTGGCGGAGCAGTCTTCATCAATGGAAGAGAACGTCCGTTTGACGAGGTATAGAATGGACATCCCTGACTTGGCTACCTTTGAGCAGTGCAGGGAAGGCTTGAGCGAGGTTGTGATCCATACACACAAAGCCTTCTGGGCGTCGACTACTTGCAGTGCTTTGCCAGTCAGACGGTAGACCATGCGGTTAGAAGAACTGGTTCCGCCAATGCGTATGATGTTACACTTGTTTACGTTAAACAGTAGAAGCCAGTCGTTCGACCATTGCTCGAGGCGGTCTAGATTTGTCTGCAATGGCGCTTCGTCAACTGCATTTCGTATGGTACTCCAGATCTTCATGTCATCAATAAACATTGCGACATCGCAATGCAGTTCGTTTATGCAGTTGTTGACGTATAAAATGAACGGTATAGGGCCAGGAACAGAGCCTTGGGGAGAACAACTCCTAACGGCAACCTCGGTAGACTGCTGGTCACTGACGTGGACGGCTTGAGAGCGGCCGAGTAAAAAGCTTCGAATCCACATCAGAATCTTACCTCGCACTCCTATACGGCTGAGTCTGTACAGAAGGCGGTGGTGAGGCACAATGTCGAAGGCCTTTTTAAAGTTAATATAGATCGCATGAACCCTATGTCTTCTATCAACAGCCCGAGTCCAGTGTTTCAGACAGTAGAGCAAGTTTGCCACACAGGACCTGCGTTTTCGGAATCCGTGCTGGGAGTCGGAAAGCAGATGGTTTTGTTCAAGAAACTGCATCAATTGTTGCTTTATTATTTTATCCATAATCTTGCAGCAAATGGAGGTGAGGCTGACCGATCTGTGATTGTTCACAGAGACCCGACTTCCGCCCTTATACAGCGGCGTAATCCACGCTGATTTCCAGTTGGCTGGCAGTTATCCAGTCTCGAAAGATGTATGGAAAAACATGGAGAGTAGTTTAGCCAGCTCACCGGCGAGTTCCTTCAAAATCTTCGCCGGAATCTAATCGGGGCCTGGTGATGTCGATTCCTTTAGATTCGTCGACTCCGTCAGAACCATGCCCTCAGTGAACCGAGCCGTCTCCATAACTGTGGTGTCTTCGGAGGGTTGAAGGGCCGAAGGGTTGAATCCTGTTTCGCCACTAAAAACAGACCGAAAAGATTCTGGAAGGTGATCAGCTTTCGCTCTGTCTCCAGTTAGATGTTCGCCTTCAGCAGTCTTTAGCAATGCTATTGGGTTCTTGTTCCGCGTGTACTGCTTTATGTAACCGAAGAATAATTTAAGGTTCTCCGCGGAACGGTTAAGATGATCCCGTTCCAATTCCCTTCTAGTTTAAAGGATACGTCCCTTGGCTCGATTCCTTGGAGCTTTGTACGCACATATAGACGTAAGGCTCCTGTCAGAAAGCGATTTTCTCCACAGCCTTCGTTTTTTATTAACCTCATTCTTCAAGGCTCGCTTAAGCCATCGAGGTCTGTTAGTTAACCTCTTTCGTGAAAGCGGACAGTGGTTTGCGATCAGCCTGTGCAGCAGTTCTCGGAACCGTTGCCAGTCTTCGAGTATGTCTCCAATAAATACGGCTTCCCACTCAATGCGTGAGATTTCAGCTCTCGTTTAGTCGAAATCTCCGCGCCAAAGGTTTCTTATAACTGTCGTGGGTTTCTCGGGCGTGGGAAAAGCGAGTATTCCCTGGTAGAAGGGCGCTCACCGATCGTTCTTACAGAACTCACTCGTTCCGTTGTGTCTTACGGGCTCTCTCTCGAGTCCTACTAGCAGCCGCACAGTGGCGCATGATATAGGCAGAATGGTATTACCGATAATGACAAGGGGTATTCCCATGAGTATTCCCATAGAAGAACGCCGTGGCCCCTTTTTCCTAAGGGGGGTAGGCATGACACCTCATCAGTGCTGTCCTGTGATTTCTTAAGGACAAGATCAACGCAGTTGGCTTGTTGGCCTTTGCGTACTCTAGTTGGAAACGTGACGTGTTGAGTGAGGAATAACTTCAGTGCCGTGTTCAGAAAAATCTCATCGAAGGACTGTTCTGAGCTATATGCATGGGTCAAGCTTCACTCAATGTGAGGCGCGTTAAAGTCGCCCATGATCAGGACATCCGGCCGCGTAGCGAACTTTTCGAGTTCCTCCAGCAGGCGAGCGTCTGCCATGTTGTCCCGTCTCGGCGGTCGATAAACTGTCAGGACATCGAGACTAGGCGAGCTCGGCACTTTAACAGACAGCCAGATTGCCTCGGAAATACCCGAAAATATATCGGTTGTCTGATACATTTACCCCATTTTTCACAT